ATGAAAGAGAAAAAAGGAGAGAAAGAAAAAGGAAAGAGAGAAAGGTAAAGAAAGAAAAAAGACAAGAGAAAGGAGGAGACAAAAGAGGGGAGAGAGAGAAAAAGAAAGAGAAAGAGAGAAGAGGATGAGAGAAAAGAAAGAACAAAAGGAGAGAAAAAAAAAGAGGAGAGAGGAGAGAGGAAAAAGAGAAGAAATAAAGAGAAAGAGAGAAAAAGACAAGGGAGAGAAAGAGGAGAGAGGCAGGAACACCCCAGCAGTAGCCCCCAGGGCCAAGGTGCTCAGGCCTCCCCGATGGTCTCAAAGTGGGGGAAGCTCAGGCCCAGGACTGGGAGGGAGGGTCTGGCCAGGGTTTGGGCAGACAGATGCTGCATCCCTCTCAGGTGGGGGCAGCACTGGGGTGCTGAGCACCGGGGCTGAGAGCTCAGGGCAGGGGCCAGGTGATATGGGGAGAAGCAGACCACAGGGGGAGATACCACGAGCTTGGGAAAGCAGGAACCAGAGGAGAGTGAGGGCAGACAGGAAGCAGGGGCTGCCCCTAGAGCTCTGTACACTTGGGCCACAGCAGGCAGGTGGTGGTGCCCAGGAGTACCCAAAGTGAAGCCCAGCCCAGCCCATACAGCTCCGCTTGGGCAGGCAGCAGCTGTCCTGCCCATGAGAGGACACCGCCTGGCTGGAGCAGGACACTGGGCTCAGAGGGTTTCTGGCTCCAGTCTCAGCCCCCCTGCATGCTGGGCACTGCCTGAGCAGAGCATAGACACCCCTGCTGCAAGGCCCTGGCCATGAGGCCCAGCCACAGGAACCCCTGCACAGGTACTAGTAGGTAACAGAATCACAAACTGTATTTAAATGTCGTCAACAACAGTTATGTGGCTGGGTAAGTGCCATTTAGGTGAATAAAAGGTCATTGAATTTGTGTCCACATGTAGCACTACCTGTGTGTGCTTATGCAGCAATCTACATAGTGCCTGATCCTTCTCCCACTGAAATTAATGGGAGTTCTATCGCTGACTCTATTGTCAAGCCCCTAGAATCTGCCTTCTCACATGTCACTTATAGGTCTAATTTGAGTCACTGTATCTACAGCCCTTCTGGCTTTGCGCCATGCTATTTGCTGTCCTCATTATTACAGCTGCCATGGGAGTACACTGATAAGGTATGTTTCTTCTGTACTAATTATATTATTTACTAAAAAGAGGCACCCAGGTGTGATGTGTACTATTATCTAAAAATAGCGATGTGCTTAATTAACAGTAAGTGAAATCTTGGGCTTATTAAATTCAACAGCTAATCTTCTGCTGATTTAAATGAAGTTTTAAAGTACTATTTTTAAAAAAGCTATTGCTCTTCAAACAAAATAGAGGTGGGAACAGGAAACAGAAAGCCACTCAGAGTGGAAATAAATTTACTTGGAAGTTATTTTACAGCTTGTGATCTATGAAAAGACCCTACAAAATCCAGTTATAGGCAGAACAACAGCTAAATTATAAAACATAAGAGTCATCACTGTTTAAAAGACATCCTTAGAGGACATCCTTAGCTAGTAACTATCCTTAGTTATTAGTCATACCTTTACAGTAGTTGATAAAATTCATCTTTATTTGATAGCTGTAGCAATATAAGGCTGATATTCTTTGTAATGAAGATATTCTTAAGAGTGTTTGTGAATCAGTTACCCAACTACACATTCTCAAAACAAAGAATAAAATTGAAGTCTTTATATCCCAACTTCCTATTCCAAAAAGGTCTACTTTAGACTCTGGAATGGTGAGCATACATTTTGTGGGCATGGTGGATCATGAATATAACTAGGGTTAAACCCAGTTAACCCATCTTCACTGCAGAAACTTAATTGTTCATGTAAAGACTAGCATGTGTACAATTTTCATGTGCCACTTTGAAGGCCTATTAATATGGATCATAAACTCTGCACTCTTTTTTTCTGTCACGTCCAATGTTGCCATATACACAGCACAAAAAAGTAACACATCTTTCACTTAAGAGGCACCCAGATAATATCTAGTGGAGATGCACACCGGTTTTGTCAAACAGAATTTAACATAGCCATTTGGGAATAAAAAAGAACAGGTTATCTGTCATATTAGGAGATTCATACCCATGTTTCCTTTGAATGAAATTCACTTTGCTTTCTGGGCCAGCACTAGAATTATGCATCTGGAGTGAAATTTATATTTCATTTTTAAAATTGAAGCATTACCCAATTGAAAGTGAACTTTGATTGATTGTTTCATCTATTAAGTTTCATAAACATCAGTCTTTCAAATTAAGTGAAAATATGTACTGTAATTATTTCCTTTCTTTACAAGGGAAGAATTTATGGTGGTTACCACCTGCACCCATTTAAGCAAATTAATTAAAAATAAGGTTTGGCAGTCCATGAACCAAATAGTATTGACTTTTTTATAATAAAAAATAAATATAAAAATAGCAAAAAAGCCTGAACTTCCATTTAGTACTACTCCAAAAAGGCCTGCTTTAAACTCTGAAATAGGGAGCATATATATGTGTGTGTGTGTGTGTAAAACATACATACATATATATATATACACGTACACATATACATATATATACATACACATATATATATTAGTTTTCCACATGCACATTTGTATTTTAGATAGATTGATAGATCTATCTATCTACACACACACACACACACATTTTATATATATATATAAATCTGTGTGGAAAACTATATGTATTAGTTTTTAGTTGGGTTTGAACTAGGAAGAGTACCTAATATTATCTGTTGATAAATATATGAATGGACACTCTGAGAAATGATACTATTTTGTTTGTGCAATAGAGAGAAATTTTCATGTTATTTTTTCTGATGTAAAATTTGTTTGCATTTTCAATATTTGCTTTATCCCTGGTGTGAGGAGCATTATGTGATAATCTGTTTTATGTCAGAAAACACTGAGTAAACCATCAGAGTCCCCACAGTTCTTTTGAACATTAAACCCTTCAGCAAAAATTCTCCATGTAGAAGAATTACAGCACCTATAAACTATAAGTATCAGTATTTCTTTCAGTAAGTGTTATACACATAATCTTGGCAATAATTGGAAAGCAATACTATTTAATGTAGTTTTCAATGCTGAAAATGCATTAGATACATAAACTTAGTATGTAGCCATCCTTGGCCGATATCAATATTTAAGCATTTCGTATTGTGGGAGACTATTCGTGGAATCCCCCTCCAATCCCAAAATCCCAGTTTTGAGTTGATACCTTCCCTGTATTTTTAACAGTAGGGCAGCATTACAAAGACAAAAGTAAAATTCCTTTAAAGCAATAGATATTGTGCATTGGTTAGGTTCATCCATACTGTATTGTAACTTTTTTGCATGCAGAATTTTAAGGATGAGCGTCGCAGAGCACCTCAGTGCCTGCTCCTAGGGAGTAGAAACTGCCAGGGAGAGAGAGCCCTGGCAGGACATAATGAGCCCAGATGAGGGTTGCCAGGGTAACGGGCACAGCTGCGGGTTGCCGGGGCAACTAAGGAGAGCCAGATGCCTGTAGGAGGCAGGGCCTGGCCCTTATAAAGCCCAGGGCTGAGACCAGGCAGGGAGTTCCCTGCCAGCAACCGGAGAGGCAGGAGCTCCCTCGGCCGAGATATGGGAAGAAGCCTGACTTGCAAGTACAGCTCACTATAGCCCTGAGAGGATTGGGCACTATGGTTTAGCCAGGAGGCTTTATGTTTGCGTTGCAGCCAGGAGGCTCTAGTTTATGTCCGGCTTACATATTAGAACGGAGGCTTGGGTGAGGCTGTAGGGGTTGGAGGAGGCCTCAAAGGGACCCCAGAGGTGTGGGGCCCCTGAGCGCAACCAGTGGGTTGCGGGTGGGGAACAGACCCCGGGTTGTATGCGGGGTACGTAGACCCCAGCCCCAGAGAGGGGCAGCTATGAGATGCCCCAGAAGAGGGCACTAGCGCAACCAGTGGGTTGCGGGCGGGGAACAGACCCCGGGTTGTATGCGGGGTATGTAGACCCCAGCCCCAGAGTGGGGCAGCGTTGAGAAGCCCAAGGCGGGCACGGCGAGCCCCAAAGAAGGGGAGCACCATATTGGTCTATTGCGAAGCCCAAGGCGGGCATGGTGAGCCCCGAAGATGGGGAGCGCCATATTGGGGAGCCCAGGACGGGCCCGGCGGACGC